GTGTTTTAATTTGGGTAGAAAAATATTTGGATGAAGGGACAGCTTTGGCAGAGAACTATGAAAACAAACATGCTACTGTTATTCTCATTCTAGGCAGTTTGCTTTCCTGTCCTATTCTCAGAGACAGATGGAGACAATGTCCTCGACAGAAGTGGCAAACAGCAGATAGGAAAAGCCACAGGAAAGCAATTAGAGACTCTGCATGCACAACTGGCTTTTTTACACAATCAAGATCCTAGGTAAAGTTTTCAAATACAGTTCGTGAAAGGACTTCCTGGTTTGGACCTGAGACAGTGCTGTGCTCTGTTTCCTGGAATATTTTATCTTATTTTTAGTTTTATTATCTTTGTTTCATCAGGTGTTTTGCTGGCTGGCACAGAGAGCACTCCATCTTTCTGTGTTATACCTCTGAGAATGCCAGTCACAGCTGCTGGCAAAACATCAGGTACTACAATGTCAAGACCACAGCCATACAGCCCGGAAAATCTACCACAGCTAATGAACTCCAGCTGTGAAAGCCTTCGACAACATATTGAACGTCTCTTAATAAAGCTTACGAAAAATGAGATGTACTAACTTCTTACATCCTTCACAATAACAAGCAAGGGAAGGAAGCAGCCAGCTTATCCATCTAAGTATCCACAACTGGAACCAAGATGAGCCAACAGAATTTGATTTTTAAACCAAGCAAAATTATTCTTGAAATCTTTCCTTATTGAGGTAGAGATATAAGTTGGCAGAACAAGTGGCAAGCTAAAAGACACTTAGCGATTTATTAGGAATACCAATAAGGGAAATAGATTTGTGGAAATTAGAACGCTGAAGCAGCCCTATATATCACCAATCAGTTTTGCTGATTTTCCACTCTAGGCATATTTCACTATTATTATGGTCCAAAAGATTTGAAATGAAGCCTTTTGGCCTGTGTATTAAAAGACATTTTTTGCATCTCCAAATTGGGTTCCCTTTTGGAGGACAGGGAAATAAGACCAAGTCGGGAGGCAAAGCAACCGGAGAGGAATCAGGCTCCAGTCTACCATTCAAGAGAAGAACAGAGGAAGTCCCCTCTATTATCCCAGGAGACAATGGCTCTAGTTTAAATTTAGTGGAAATGGGAGATATGACCACTAAACCTCAATTGATCAATGTCACTTCACCCTTGAAACCCCCCCAAAATACAACTACTAACATCAGGCAACTTAAAACAACATCTAATAGACACCCCCACCCCCCAGAATGACCCTTTTCTAATGGAGGCTGAGTTAATAGCCTCCTTTGGTTCAGTAGCAGCAGAAGTCCAAGAAAGTGTTCTTTCAAGACTTCAAACTCTTCTGTGTATATTAAGAGAAACCAAGAGTGACCCACTCAACTGAATGTGGAGTGGTTAAAGAGGGCAGACAAAAGACCTTTAGCCCCAGAGGAGAGAAATATGGAATCTGACCCACGAATCAACCAAGATGTTACCTCCATTCCTCCACCTAGTGGTACTATAGCAGAAGAGGCACACCAGAACTGTAAAAACCTCTGGCCAAAGTAATTGTAAAATCTAGTTTTATTAAAGAACAGGAGTTTACAAACATTAATTGACTAGAGGAAAAGCTAACCCTCTCATTGAACACTTCAAGATGGGCCTTGAAAATACAGATCCCTGAAGTTTATAGACAGATTAAGAAATTTCATATCCTGCTGATCCAGGAAACAAGATTATCAGAAGAAATCTTTGTAGAAGGATATACTACCTTCTCAGTTAGTGCTGAAAGATATAGTAAAAAGGGACACTTTTGTGGAGGATTAGCATGCCTAATTGAAAACTCCCAGAACATAATGGAGGTGAGGACAATGGCTTCAACCTCTTTAGCACTTATGTTGTTGTTTATTTTGGCCCTTCCAACAATCTCCTTTTTATTGATAACAGCGTACTTACCCCCTTGTCCTAAGAAAAGAAGAGTTAGTAAGAAATTGGGACAATACAGATGAATTTATCTCAGAAGCAAGAGAAGGGTTACCAAAGCATTACTTAATAACAGGGGATGTTAATGCTCATATCGGTGCAGATGGATCTAATACAATTTTAGAGATGTTTGACTTAGACAAGGAAGACTTCCCATATAGTGACTCCCTCCTGAATAGTGCAGGAAGGAATCAAGGGGTAAACCCTGCTGATAAACAATTAATAAACCTGGTGCTTTCTCATAACTTGGTGTGACGGACTGCACCTATTAAGAGGCTTAAAGGTGCTGTACATAAACTACAGGACTGTGAAGGGTTAATACTTCACAGAGCCTTGAGTGACAGGCTGCTCCAGGCAATCTGACTGGTTGGCATCAGCTGAGAAAAAAGTCTTATGAGAGCTGGATGCTTAGGAGAAGAGATTGAGATTCCTGCCTTAACTGTGACAAGACGTGTATGGAGATGGTTTTAGACTAGCCCTGAAAGAAAAGGGTTTTTGTGATGACAAAGTCAAAATTCACCCTTGACTTAATATAGTCTTAATTCAACATTAGCTGAGAGCGGTTTTAAACACAGACAGCGAGCTGGGGAAAAGTTTGGCAAGAAGGTTTGGGTAGAATAAGAAGTCTCCCATTCAGGCCAAAGGAAGAGGTGATAAATCTTCTTGGGAGAAAAAAAAGAATTGCTACCCAGTCAAACAGAGAAAGTTATCTCTGAGAAGGAGAGATATCCTAGTCTAGTGTGACTAGATTCTGCTTGTGGAGACTTTGAAAGTCAGTTAACAACTCAAGAAGATTTCTGGTGTTCCAAGAGAAGGGGTTTGTGTACTGGGAATAGGGTACCAGCCTTCTGGGCACCAAAATAGTCTGCTATTATACAAATTAAGTGAACTGGAGTGGTTTGGGAAAGCCCAGTAACAAAAGCCTCTCAAAATAAAGGAACATAGTAACTGTGAATAATTCAAGAAACTGTCACCTAGCTTGATTTATAAGAACAAGAGTTCGTGCTTATACTAATTTACCTCAGTATTTTCAACCCAACTTCATCTAACCTTTCCCCTTGATGTTAATAAAATCTTCTGTTGCTTTTGAATTTTAAGAGAGTCTCAAGTACTATTTTCCGTCATTTATGCTAAAGGGAGACCCAAGCCCTTCCCGCAGGTCCTGGGCTGGGAAAATAGCCATTACATATTACCGTACTGACACAGGGTGGGACTGCTAAAGCTACTTTACAGAGAAGAATACAGGTTACCAAGGCTGCTCAGTAAGTGAACGGACCAAAAAGAAAAATGGGAGGGAAAATCTTGCCTCTAAGGGAGGGAAGTGGACGAGGTCTGTCGTACTTGGTGATAGTCAATTGGAATAAGCTGATGGACCTTACCAGCATACTTAAAAGTCCATGATGGTTTTCCGATATTGTGGATGCTTTTGGCTGCTAGATTGAATGCTGCATTAACCCCAGAAATGAAAGGTCGCTTTTCGGGAGTTCCCTTTTCAGAGTGCTGGTTTCTGCAATACAGGGAAGATTGGCTCATCTAATAACTGAATGCCCCAAATTCATTGAGGAGAGACAGAGATGGATTACCCCAATACTTGAGAAGAATGAGCTCACAAATATTAATCAGAGCCTTTCTTTTCTTTTACAAGATAAGGACCCATATATCACCAGGACATTGACATCCTACCTTTTAGCAACCCAGCTGAAAATTTTTTTTAAAAAAGTTTGTGACTTGAGTGAGTTTCCCTGCCTCCCCCCTGCCCCCGGTGTGATTAGGCTTAAGGCTGTCGCCAAAAGTGCCATATCATTAAAGAAAAGGAAAAGGAAATACAATTTGTCAAGTATTTCATTGTGTTAATCATAAATTGTGGACATTTATTTTATTTTATCCTGTACAGTTGCTATGGCTTTTTTGCTAATGCAATAAATATTATTATTATTATAAATTGTGGATCAAACCAGCAAGTGGAGATACTTGTGTTGAGACTTTTCAGGATAACTCAGTATGAACAAGGGAAAGCCGCTAGAGGGTTAGTAGTCAAGAGATAACCATTTCCCCATGCTCAGTGTAGTTTTGCAATTCTTGGAAATATTTACATTCGTCGTAAGGTGAGGGATGAACGTATGTACACGTCTGAAGCCAGATACTCCACAATCTAGAGAACAGTGGCTACAACAGCATTTGACCTTCTTTACATGTGTTCAGCCCAGCAGGTTCCAAAGCCAAAATCACTCTATAGGAAAAGAATCTGCTTAAACTCAGACAAAAGTTTGTCTTCTCTTTCAGATGTACAATCAGAAGAACATTTGGCTTTCCGGGGAAAGAATAAGACTTGTTACCAAAACTTTTAAGAAAACTTTTAAGAAAACAATTTCTATTTTCTCACTTCACCGTGTCCAGTCTCAGCCACTGGATCCAATGAAACTGTATAGAGAAATGGTTTGATCAAGCCATTACATCATCATCTTACCCAACGAAGAAGCCAAAAGAGCAGCTGATAGAGAAAGTCAATTAGCTAGCTCAAGATTGCTTTTTGCTTTCAGGATTTTCATCCCTGAATGCATAAACTAGTACATTTTAAAGTTGCACCGAATACCTAAGCCTTGTATAAATGCAAAAGTGCCACAAAGCACTTGTAGCAGCACATAAATATCCAGGGAGTTCCATATTAGCCAAGGCTATCTGTGGTGTGCACTGCTGTGACAGAAAGCAGTTGCTAACAAACTCTCTGGTAATTCATCTCAAGAATACAACACTTACAACAAGATTATAAAATTATTTTTGCTGACTAAATTGTGTTCAGTATTTTAACAATTTTATTATTTCTAAAATATTGTACTGAACAGAAAAATATTCCACACTCATTCTGACCATTTCTGGTGAAACTTCTGATTGTAAATTAACAATTTTTCAGAATATCATAACAGAAAGATATAGTTCTTAGTTGTTTATAATTTTAACTTTAGAGATTAATAAATATATCAATCTACACAAGCAAAGGGAATAATCATGGAGCATTTACAGCATCAAAATGTTATTTCAATTACAGTGTAGTTTCCTAAAACAGCATATCTACTTATCTGATATTTAGATTTTCTATAAAGCAATTTATTCTTACACGTTCACAATTTAGCTATATCAGGGTATACAGCTTGATACTTTTATAGCTGGTTTGCCATTGCAAACAAGTAGTAGAAGGATTTTACAGTGTTCTGCTACAATAATTCACCCACAGAGACTGGGTTTCCATTATGCCCAAAGGGATCCTTCCTAGTGCTGTTCTGTTTGTGCACTGAAATGAGCTACTGGTCTATCTTAGAGCCAAAGGAGAATGCACCAACAAAGCCACTTTAAATAAGTCTATAATTGAACCTGCTTTGCTTAATCTAAGGAGGCAATCCATAGCCCATTGAAGTCAATAGCAAACTCCCATTTAGTGTGCAGCTTCACACCAGCATATCAATCTAACTCTTAATCAATAAAAGGCTTGCTAGTTATGACATGCTCTTTACATTTCTGTCAAATCATATATACATATACACAAATGAAGAATATCTTAATAAAAGGCATCAATCTATATTACAGTCTCTTTGCTTGAAAAAATAATATATATTTAACTTTCCAAATCACACAATAATTAACAATTGGCAAAGCAGAAATTTCTCAGCAACAATTTGATGGAAACTGGCTTAATTTTTTGGTTTTCGGAAATCTCCCCAAGCTCATCATTCCGGAAATTAATATGTCAGGTATCAAAATGGGTTGGCAGCATTAACAAGACTGTTACAATGTTCTGCAAAAGATACTTAATACAGTACTTGAAGACACTGTCTGGTGCAAATAGCATGGAAAGACATACAGTATAGAAAAAAATTCCACATTGAAGGAGTTTTGGCTGATACCTCTGAGTCATAATTGAAGTAGTAATAAATGATTACGCAGGCATGAGAAGATGGCATATAGACTTTACATTTTAAAAGTTCCATCTTTCAAATTTTCCTAGGAACAGTTACAAAATTAACTGCAATAAAAAATCATGTTGCAAATAAATGAAGGTCATTTAAAATAACTGATTAAACCACAGTCAATATAAGGCCACAACAAAGAATGCTAGTTGAAGCACTGATTCAGCAAATTTGAAACAGAAGTCATGATGGAGGAAATTGGCAGCAAGCACTAAGAAGTCCTTTCTTTGCTGTACAATTTTTTTCACTCGGTCCTGGTTGTTTGTGCTATGCATAAGTGGCACAACATTTCCCCTTTCTATTTTTGCTTTATTTTGTTAAATGATTTCTCTGGGGACAAGAACTCAGTCCATCATTCAATTGCATTACAAGAAATATACACACTTTTTGGTTTCCCCCTCACTGTAAGTCACAAATATTGTACAGACCAACAATTTCTGCAGTGCTTCTAAACATAAATTGTCACTGTATTGGTTCCACATAGTTTGCTGGATATAGACCAACTTGTCCATTATCCAGACGTCCTTTGCACCAGCCTTGTTCATCTTCATCTTCTATTTTTGTTAGCTCTTCCCCTGGGAACAGAGTCATTTGAAAAACTATAAAAATCATGAGGAATATTGTTAAATTCGGCTAACAATATGTAGCATTGGATTAAATTATGTCTTCCCATAGCAACTCTAGTATTCCCTTCTTACACCAATCAGGATCAGAAGGTTAGAACTCTGCTTTGTATTGAACTGATCCCTCAAAATACTGATGGGAAAAGACAAACATCCAGGGCTCTTTTTGTAGAAAAAGCCCAGCAGGAACTCATTAGCATAACAGGCCACCCCCAACATCAGAAACTCATTAGCATATTAGGCCACACCCCTGACAGCACAGCTCATTAGCCCATTAGGCCACACCCCCATGTTACCAGAAGTGTGGTCATCCAGCCACACCCACTTTTTGCTTCTTATTCTGTTTACCTTGTTTGTTGTCAAAACCCAGGGCTTTTTTTGGAGCAGGAACTCCTTTGCATGTTAGGCCACACACCCCTAATGTAGCCAATCCTAATGAGTTTCTGCTTTTGGGTGTGGCCTATTATGCTAATGAGTTCCTGCTGGACGTGGCCAACTCGGGAGCCAGCCGGAACTCCGTTCCTGTGCGTTCCTGCCCAAAAATAGCCCTGCAAACATACATTAAGCAGCAAGGTGGTCAGATTAAACAATTGATATAGGAGAAAACAGAGTTGCAGTTACAGGTAACTGTTGTTCATCGACTGATCATCTGTGCAGTCACATGTCGGTACAGCACATGCATAGGCCTACCACAGAAAGGTTTCTGAAGCACAAAAAAGCCAGAGGGTGTTCTATCCCCCTTCTCCCGTGCTGTTTCCCACCTTTTCCAGCATGATAAAGAGGGACATAGCAATCTTCCATCAGTTCCTGTTTGCTACCACCAGAATGAGGCAAGTCGCCCAGTTTAAATGGGGCAGGAGAGAGGGATGAGTGACTGCACAGGTGACTTACTCAACGAACAAAATATACAGGTAAGTGCAACCCTGTTTTCATCGTTGTGTAGTACCTGTGCAGTACCACGTGGGACAATAGCAAGCTAACTTGCCAGTCTTAGGAAGGCAAAAAGGAGCTCTCAGTTGAAGAGACTGTAAAATCACTCTATTCACTCCTATGGCTCCTATTTATTTATTTATTTATTTATTTATTTATATTTATATCCTGCCCTACCTATCCCACAATGGGCTCAGGGTGGCTATGTGGCATCTATGTCTTGTGGCATCTATGTCCACAGAATAACGCTTGGCAAAGCTTCATGATGCGTCCTTGCAGATGGAGTTAAAGAATGGACCACGGCAAACAGCAGCTGAGGCAGACTGTGTTTGGGTAGAGCGAGTGTGAAGCTGCAGCAGATAGTCAACTCATACTAATTTGTAACACAGTTAGATACAGACGAGTATCCATCTAGAAGTGGATTGTATTGACAGTTTCTTGCCCAAATTAGGGCTTAAGAAGGATATGAAAAGATTATCATCTTTTTTATCCCATGGTTGTGAGTACAGCACCAGTAGTCTTAGTTTAAGTGAAATTTAGATGTTATCTTAGTGAAGAATTGGAACGACTCTGGTTTTGAAGATTTTAAGGAGCTCGCTGACCCTTCTGGCTGAAATGATGGCAGTCAAGAACACTGTTTTCATGGTGAGAAGACGGAGTGGGCAGGTGGCCATAAATTCAAATGGTTTGCCCATGAGTACAGGTGAGAAGCTCTAGTGATGTACTGAGGGTTGAACCAGGGAAAATTTATTTAGTAATTCCTTGAGGAATAATTTGGACTCTCTTTGTATGAATAAGGAGAGGCCTGTGCCCTCAAAAGGTAGGAAGAGGATTTTGCGGCAGAAGGGTGCAGGACCTGCCAGAGTGGTATACAATTTTAGAGACAGAAAGCCGAACTAAAGGCAGAAGGACTTGGAAAATGGCCTTTTGAAGTGAAGAATAAGATGATGATCAGAGACTTCTCTCATAACAACTAACAAAATAACATATAAATAGCGAACTGTCATAAGCAAGAACTCTACAAGTATATTGTGATACTAAAACTGATTGTACTAACATTTTTACTAACAGTGAAAAGATCTCCTCCTCTTGGGGTTTTAGCTTAGTGTGGTTTGCTTTCCTTTATCCTTAGTTGTAGTCCCTCCTCTAATATTTCTTTGTAGTTTGTAGTATTTGCAAAATAAAAAAATATCCCTCCGGGGATTTAAAAAAAAAAAAAGGTAGGTCTTTGATTCTGGTGCGTGTCTCTTGGGGAAGTGCTGTGGATCTTGGCCAGTAGTGATGATGCAGTGCAACTGCTGTGGGAAGACTGTGGGCTGCACAGTCAGCTGAGTGCTTTACTGAGGAAATCAGGCATTTAGATAGCTTTGACACCTCTAAGGCCAGGAGTTTAACTAGTTTGCATTTGTCAGCTGTGACTTCCAGTAGGCAATCCATTATGGGAAAGGTGACAGGTCACAAGTTCCCTGGATGCATAACCTTGCATACCAGGTCTATGGCTCTAGGAGGAATGCAGGATACATTGATTTTGAGAGACTGAGCTATCTGGATGAGTTATTCATTGTACATGTGCAGATGCTTGCTGGGAGAGTATATCAGTAGTTCTGAGATAGCATCATTGGGTGAGGGTTCAGAGGCAGTCAGGCTCTCAGTCCTCACAAGCAGGGTGATCATAATCAAAGATCAAATCACTGTAGGATTGAGCTTCCTCATGTGGATCCAGGGGAAATTCTGGTTCATCCATAGGATAGCAGACTCTGTCTGCTTGTTCAGAACTGAGGGGAGCACATGGATCCCAGTCCTGGTCATAGTAGTCACACTGCAACTCTTGATACAGCAGTTGGGATGACATAGGGCAAAAATCCGATTGATGCAATGGATTTAAATGGTGAGCTGAGATATCCGGTTGATTCCAGGGACAAGGGGCTCTGAACCTTGTTCGTCACCTTCCAAAACTGAATGAGATACGTACTGCAATTGGCCTGATGGTGAGGACATTCTCAGAATGGGACTTGCAAGGAACTGAGTCCTTAGGACAGGAGAAGGTAAAGGTAGAATCTGAATTGTTCAAATTGGGAGGCTTCTCTAGGTGGTTGTGTGCTTGTGCTGAGTCTTCTTAGGTGGTGGTCCCAAGGTTTTTGCTGTGCCTTTTGACAAGGTTGAGGTGCTTGGGTTTAGTCTCGTTGGAACTGAAGATAGCTGGATCCATCTATTGGTATTAAGACATCAGCATTGTGCTTGGATCTTTTCATTGAGCAGTGCTGGACAGAACCTTTTTCCAGAGCACCATTTTTAGGTGTAAACTGGTGACAAAGTAGAGCAAAACTTCTCACTCTACTCTTTGCCATGGCACAGAAGACATTTTCCATGGTTATCTGTGTGGGGGATTTTCAACTCACAGGACATACATTTTTGAAGAAAGCGTTCTGTGTCATTTTAGACGCGTATCTCTATAGAGACAGGTATGAGGTAGAACTGTTGGCAGTTTCTGCTGGTAAGGAATGACAGCTTCTAGTAACAAACCCTTTTCAGTGATGGCAGAGAAAGAAGTGACAAAGAATCCAGCCCCCTCTTTATAACACTGGAAAAGGTGGGAAACAGTGTGTGGTGAGGGCACTCCCTCAGGCTTTTTTTTTTTTTTGCTTCAGAAACCTTTCTGTGATAGGCCTGTGCAATGTGCAGTACCCAAATGGGACTGCACAGATACCACAACAATGAACTGACCATTGGGCCTCAACATTAACATTTTTTATCACAACAAGAATGGGTGTAATACCAGGTGAAACAGAGAAACCTTCATCAGCATTGCTATTATAACTGTTTTGTAGATGGAACCCAGAAGTGGCCAGGTATTTTAAAAATTAGGGTTTGGGGTTTTTTTTTTAAAAAAGCACGTATGGACAAAGTTCTGTAGTAAGTTGAAGTATCATAGACACACACATTGGCACTGTACATCCTGTGTTGAAGGTTACTAATAGTTGCTATTTAAGATACACTAAGAATTCCACACTTTTTAAAAATCAGATTGGACACAAAGAGGAAGAAGAATGTCCTTAAAGAATCTAACTTGAACCCTAAGCACCAAATGTGTAGTTTACTTAGCATGATTCTGTTGTTATCCTTCATTCTATTTTATTTTTGAAAACAGAACAGAAAATTTATAGAAAATTTATATTGAAAGTCTGACAAATCTAACAGCCATGACACTGCATTGTACCTTTCCAGTAAGGAACAAACCATTGTCAAATTCCCAATAAACCAAGCAGCTGAAAGCCTTCTCTAATTTTAACAGTATCAGTAATTTCATACACATTTCTTTCATGGCGGAGAAAAGACAGATGCTTACCAGTCTTAAAGCTGAGCTCATCATGCTCTTGACCCTCATAATCATACAGGGCTCGAACTCGCACCTCCATGGTAAGTGAGGCCTCCTCCTCATCAAAGGGATTTGTTTCTCCTTGTGCATCACTGGACGAAAATGGATTGCTGGTCTCTTCATCAGACCACTCTGTGGGATAACTTTGGTTTCTCTCAGAGCTGCTAACACTAAACACAAAAACAATAATTTAGACTGTCTCAAAAAGCCATCTGAGTAATCACGCCGACAACCACACAACCAAGGCCACCTATTTACTAAGAAATGCTGTGCTTTGACATTTCTGAGACCTAGAGCAATGGCGTTTAGAGACAGAGAGACATGAAATTAGCAACCAACACAACATGAAAACACCACAATAAAACTATATTCATTTGAGGAAAATGTTAGGCAGAGAGAGAGTCTCAGCAAAGGACATATCCAATGAAAACAGACAGGATCAAAGCTCCTGAAGTAGTTGCACAGCACACTGCCATAGTTAGCTGTTGTGGAACCAGCAGGTGGGGAAAAACAACCACCAGAAAACAGTAGATACAGTATCATATTAGTCATACTTGCAACAACAGTTACATAACTTCTCCACAATGGCTTCATGCACGCACAACATAATGCCTTGGTAGAAACCCGGAGGTGGAACCCCTTGACAGAAGAAGTGTAAGAATGAAAAACAGTTTGAGAACAGTCTTTCACCAACTTTTTGATTTTATTGTCCTCCTTTTCACTGATAGTACTTCCAGTATCCTCTTCATCTTCAAAGGGATTGTAACTTGACTGTACTGCCTGCACTGTGTTACTCGGGACACTAAGGATGCTATTTGGGAGAGAAAAAGCATTAAGGTGACCCTATCATTTCATGGTCCCAGTACACACACGCAGCACAGTATGTCCCCTTGATTAAGGGCCCCCTAATTGCAATGCTTGTCTTGTCTTAAAAGCACCCAGGCAGATGGGGAAGGTCATTTCTAGCTACTTCTAAAAATGCAGCAGCACCCTGAAGGAATGACAAAACCTATGGTTTGGAAGCTCTTTTCAAAGAGAGTAGCATTTACCAACACTTTGAAGACCAGTTTATAAAAGCAACTTAGTGATCTGATAGGCAAGCTGTGTTTATCCCTTTTAACCTAATCCTCTGGGGTGGTTGTTTATATACTGCCTATGCTAGAGAGACTAAAATTCACCACCTGTAAATCTACTTCCCCAAAGAGTTTATTTTTCACAGAACAAATACTGATAACAAAACATTATGGATTAAAATAAAGCTTGATGGGGCTTTCACTGGACACAGGGAGCTCTATGTTCCATGTCCTCATGTGCAATGATTTCCCACCATTCCTGGAGAATATTCCCTGATGCATGGAACAGAGTGCTACAGTCAGCAAGCAAACTGCTGAAAGACTGTCTGCACAACCCCTAAGTTACTCAGGACATCATTCCCTTACCAATGAAGGACAGGACAGATCCTGCTCCTTTCAGCTTGTCCTCCAAAACAGACAACAGCACAAGCATTTTTATGGCTATCAAAAACAGGGCAGGATAATGGCCGTATGTTAATGAACCACAAGAATCAGTAGCTGAGTGTATTTTCACTTAAGACATATTGCTTTACTCATGACCAATTTCAATCAGGGCAGCATACATTCATGAGGAGAACCTGACTTCAGGTAGCACAACCAGCAACTTCCATACCTGGTGACATCTGGCACACTGTCCTGATACGGATGATCACCTGATGTACTTCTTAAGTTGGGTCCTCATTTGTGGGGGCAAAGGGCACCCAGGACCATTCACACACAGAGCAAAGCATTTCATATGAACTGATCTCTTGTATTCCCTCAGTGAACAGTAATTTAAGAACATGTAGCTTCTCTGTGAAAGCCCAGGTTAGCACTGTTCACAAGTGCTTGTGAGAAGGAGCAAAAGCTGGTTGAGTTATAACAGGTTGAAATCAAGACAACAAGAACCCCAAATGCAGATCTACATATGATAGCATTCTGGATTCTGTCTGTCACTCACTGTTTATATCTTTTCTTATACTATTAGATTATTACAGCAGCCGTACACCAGCTTGGTGTAGCGGTTAGTGTGTTGGACTAGGAAAACCCCAGCTTCAAATCCCCACTCTGCAATGGTTAGGGTCACTGCATGGAAAAGACCACAGTACACATGAGGTCCCAGGTTCAGTTCCTGCCATCTTCAAATAGATGGCTCTGCAGCTGCAAGTCTGGAAGAAAATCTCTGCAAGGCAGCCTGAAGTATGTAGGTCAGAGTAGACCACACTGTCCTAGGCTTGGTGTAAGTCACTATCAAGCCATTTTCTTATCTGTTTCTATCTTCACCACCACCATTAATTTCATGCTTATTTGTTGCAAACTAGTTCTTTTTCGCAGATTGTTACTTTTGTGTATTATACTGAAACTTAACCCAAAATATGCTGCTGGGTGTCATGGGCCAGCTTGACCAGTCAGAACTCAGCCTAGAGAAAGACTCCTTGAGTGTCGCAGAGCCTGGGCCCAGCTCACAAGAAGCAGCTGAGGAAAGCCAGGAGCTCCATGATTCAACACTGACAGCTGAAGCCGGCTCCTCCAGACAGACTACGGGAGGGGATGATGAAGACCATCTGGGGCAGGATGACTCCTCAGATTCCTCAGACTCCTCAGACAGCAGATGAACGCTGGGAGCGAAGTCGCTGGCAACTTACAGAGAGAAGGCGCAGTGTGCATCTCTTGGCTCAATGCTGGCGTTTGGCTGACAGCAGTTCTGAGTGACTGCAGGATCTTGCCTTGATTAATTCAGCTCGATGTGAGAGGCTTACTTAAACCTAACTGGCATGCCTTTCTAGCTGTGGAAGCAACGTCATATCTCTGAACCCAGCGACCACAACTCCTGCCTTGCACCTTGTGATTTTCAGACTGACCTTGGACTTTGATATTTGGATTGCCTTTGGATTCTGCTTCCTTGACCTGTCTGCATCTAACAGATTACTGACTTTGGAACTGGCTTTGACTTTGCTTTCTGGACTGCACTGGCACTGTCTCTCTGCTCAGGTGCCTGTTGGGACAGTGAGCCCGTTTTCCTCTTTACATAGGGTCCTGTTTCAATGTTTTTTCACAACCATATTTCCATCCACCAACCCAGAAAAAGAGCTGGAACAGGCCTCTGACCCTCACACTTCCCAAATAAAACAGGGAACTCCACCTTTAAATATAAATATCCCTTCACCTTGGGAGATTAAAGGCCCTTAGATTATTTTACAGGGTTGTGGGAGATTTTGCACCCAAATAATGGCAAGGTCTCTATGGTCAGTCATGAGCTTCTCCTCATGGAGAAAGACTTGGGAATTAGTGTCAGCAAGTAAGAACTTTTGAGGACAACTGTGGGAAGAAAGTGTTCTGATATGGTCTAGATCTGTTTTCTGATCCTGTATTTTCCAAAACACTATCCAATACATCATCTTCCAGTCAGCACCTTGAAAGGCCATATCAGACTTGCCAACCTGCTGTTTTTGTTGGGCTGGTCTCCTGTCTGGTTAATGCCAGTCAGGGTCACTCCATCTGCAGCCTTTTTCTTCTCTCTTCTACTGAGAGTACGGTTCAGGTCAGCTGACCATTCCTACACAAAGGCAGAAATAAAGATTCAAGCAGCTATCTCAAATCCAATGTTGAGCGCACACAACAGAAATGAACAAGATTTTAATTGCTTAATCTTAACCTTTGTTCTCCCAGTTATTGCACATTGTCTCCCCACCACCATGATTAAAAGATGGAAAATCCACTATCAACTCACTAACTGAATGCAAGCTGTTATGGCCATGTAGTTTGACTCTGAGGGGGAAACCATAAACAGGCCAGGCTAGATATTAACTTTTAAAGCTTCCTGAAGTTTAAAATCAGCTTCCAGTTCAAAATTCAGCCTCACAGGCTCTGCTATTCATGGACAGCATGTTAAAACTGATCACCTCAAAGTTTTCAAGTTATAAAATAAATTAGATATAAATAGTTTTTTAAAACCCAGAATCTATTCTTTAGATATTCCCTTTTAAATACTGTTGTTGACAAAAACAAACCCCATGCTAAAACAGAGCTTCTCTTCCTGGCTATTCCTCAGCATAAACGTATGTACAAATTGATCTAAAAATGATTTTAAAAAAAATTAATTGGATTTTAATTATTTTTCTATTTTGGATGTAACAACTTTCTCTTTTAAGAACAGTTTGTCTTAAATGGAACACGGGTACATAAACCCCTTACTTGTGTGAGGGGAATTGTTTCCCCTATTACCCAGTGAGAGATGACCAATTAGTGTGGTGGGGAGATGATTCCTGTTTGTGGGCTTCCTTCAAGTAGCTAGTTGGCCACTGTGTGAGCAGAATGCTGGACTAGATGGGCCTGTGGAATGATCTAGCATGGCTCTTCTTACGTTCTTATGATTTTATCCATCAATGCTGTCTACAGCTTTCCAGAAAGCACTTCTATCCTTCATCCAGGTGAGCTGCAGAAGCAACAGCAACACCAGTAGGCACCAGTGGAGGCAGCATACTGGTTATTGGCCAACAAAGGAGGGAGGAGGAAAGTAGGGTAGTGTCCATCTCTTCTGTGCCCCCCCCCCCCAGCAGCAGGAGAGAATGAAGCCTGTGAAGGTGAAGAACTTGCACTCGTGCTCTGAGGTTTACATCTTCAAGAGGACACTACCCCAGGGAAGACAGAGTCCCAGTGACAAGTGCATTCATAGCAAAGTCCTGTGGCCATTTTGTGTTCTTCCATAATGGCAAGCTTCTATGCTGCTTTTTCAAAGAGAAGAGTGGGGCTGTTTTTCTTACTGACAGAAGCCCCCTGCAAGGAAACAGCAGAGGAGAAAAGGATAAAATGGCTCCTCTCTCATGATTTCTTCTCCTTGAAAAAACTGCATTTGCAACAGAAGTCATTTAAAATTAACACAGAAATAATGGAATTGAATGGGCACTCTTCCCTTCTCCCCTGCTACTTACATATTTTTTCAAAGCTACCTCAGTGGCTGAGTATGTGAACTCTTGGGAGGGAAAAGAAAAATGCAGTCTAAGTGGGAGCATGCCTACTTTGCAAATTGGGACCATGTTGCTTTGAAATCATGAACATTTACTTATCAAAAGCTTTAACAAATCTTGTCAGAGAGAGAAGGCACATTAATCTCTAAGGACCAACTAGAATCCTCTAAAAAATTTTATGGTTATAGCAACAAAGAAATATATACTTTTCAGAATTGTCTGAATAATAATGAAAAATTTGGATTTAAAATTGGTGCTTTCAATCAGAGTTGAATCCATCTGCCCTGATCAGTTATTACTGCCCACTGCTGGTAAGACATTGTGTACCATTAAGTTAACATTCAGAAAACAAGAATATCTGAAATCACTTTTCAGACACTACTCCAAAGGAATAAATTTCCCCTGTGATTCATGAAATATTCCCTCCAGTACTGCCAAAAGCCATGTACACATACATTCCTTAATACGTTCACAAAAGCCATGCGCATATATGTTCCTTGGTAGAAGCTTAAATCGCCTAGGAGCATTTCTTAACAACAAGATTATACAGAATTCACATCTCAAATCATGCACACGACTAGCCACTAAAATGCAGGCTGAAAACAAATTGTACAAGCAGCACAAGCTTGGCAAGTTTTCTTGGCCATTTATAAATCCTAAAAAGTATGACTAACTTTAAATATAGCAGTCTGAAACTTACTTCATCCTTGTTGCATGCAAAGCAAACAAAATATTTGTTAGGAAAGTCAGAATTTATTTTTGAGGTCTTCGTACTTCAGAATTCAGTGCTGAACACTGACCAAATGCAGGACTGACAGTGTGTGTGCCAGTGAAGCTCCAAAACCCTTTGAAAGCCTTATTCCACAAACAGGCCAAATTCAGAGAATGTTTTATCAATCTGAATCTAGTGAATTTCAAAATGAAGCTGCTATGAAGTATGTCAGCTTAGAACTGAACTGTTACATTACTGAGCTCAGCCAGGCAGAATGTTCTGTGTAAGTTGTACCTCCCACTCAGCTCTATATCTAGTGGAATTCTAACAAGTGAATCATCTTGAATTACCAAGCAACCTGACAACTACTTTTTACAATTTAAAATTTGTTTTGATAGCTAAAATGACTACACTCAAACATTCTGAAAAAACTGGCAGCAAGGCTGAATGTTAGGGTTGCCAGCCCGCAGGTCTGGGCAGGGGGTTCCCCTGCTTTTGGCGGCTCTAATCCACTGCTAGCCAGTTGGCCGGCAGGGGAAGCCTTGCCCCCAAGAGTGGCCAGCTGGGGCCACCACCGCTCTCCCTCCACTCCAGGAAGATTTAAAGGGCTTCAGTTGATCGGCAGGGAGGGGGGGAGAGGGGGGGAGAGGGGCTGCCGCTGGCCAAAAGCTCCGCTCACAGAAAGACCCTTTAAACAGTCTTTTTGTGAGTGGGGTGGGGTCTGTGGAGTGCTGATTTCCCAGCAACGATTCGCTGCTTGGGGTTCAGGTGTGTGCACTGCCACCCCACTCACTGATAACAAGGCGGTGGCACGCGGGGCTGGCTACAAGTGGGGCTCTCTGCGAGCGGAGTGGCAGCATGCGTGCCTGAATACCAACTGGCGAATCGCTGCTGGGAAATCAGCCCCGTGCTCTGTGGCCCCCACCCCACTCGCAAAAAGACCCTTTGAAAGTTCAATATTGGGATGTGAAGAATAATCTATTTTGCTTTGATAACTATTAGAGATAGAAGGATATTTAGAGTTAGTTCAAATGTGTAAGAATAATAGCTTAAAAAATGTTACCTTATAAGTTTAATTATTGATGTGGGGAGAAGAGAGAAGAAAATAGAAGATTTGGAAGGGAGGTGGGAGCACTGCGGGAAGCCGGAAGGGGGGAGAGATGGGGAGAAAAGGATGCTAAAATATTATATTGGTTGACTTGATGTTATATCCAAATAAAAAATGTTTTTTTAAAAAAAAAGAAAGTTCTTTTTGCTAGCAGAGCATGCAACCAGTGACAGCCCCTCTCCCTCCCTCCTGAAAGATTTAAAGGATCCTCCAGCTGATCAGCAGGCAACATGCTCCCTGCAGATCTTTTAAATCTTGCAGGAGGGGAGGGAGAGAGGTGGCCCTGGGTAGTTGCTCTTGGGAGGGGGGGTTGGGGGCACCAGAACACCCCTTAAATCCACCCGCCGGAGTGACAAGGGGAACTGGCAACCCTACTGAATGTGCCTCCACCTGGCTTATACCTCAATTCACTCAGCCCACACAATGCATGATGAAGGCTTAAGCTTAACTCTAGTTACCCATGTGAATGGAAATCATTTTCCTTCCACAATCATGGATTGTAAACCAAGCTTAGACCTCCAGCATGTAAGTGGAAAATCATTTTGATGAAACAGCATGCCTGCCTTCCTACTGGAGTGTTTTATGCCAAGACTTCTCATCACCCTTCATGCAAGGAGGGATGGGGAGGAGTGGGGCATGGATGGCCACAAGCCAGATTCATGCACATTCAGGCTTAATGTCATCCTGTCATTCCCTCTACGCTCAGTGTTGTGAACAGAAATTCTAACTCGTGAGCAAAACACCCAACAACCCCTAGTAGCATTACAGTTATGAGCGAATCTACATTTGACTTTTGTGTAAATTAGTTTTTTAGAAGAGTACTTCCATAACCTTGTAAAAATCTCAGAATAAATTATTTTGTTATATTTAAACTATATTTTAAGAATAATTTAAACGTTATAAGAGAAAATAGAATCAAGACAAATCTTACCCACCCCTTTCCATTATACTGGTAGACCTGTTCTCCAGAGAACAGGTCTACCTACCCCAGTCCACTATATTAGTAGACCAGTCCTCCAGAGAACAGGTCCACCCACCCATTTCCACTATACTGGTAGACCCAGCCTCTGCAGAACAGGTCTACCCGCCCCTTTCCAATGTATTGGTAGACCTGGTCTCTGGAGAAGAGGTCTACCCACCCCAGTCCACTATATTGGTAGACCTGGCCTCTGCAGAACAGGTCTACCCGCCCCTTTCCAATGTATTGGTAGACCTGGTCTCTGGAGAACAGGTCTACCTGCCCCAGTCCACTGTATTGGTAGGCTTGGCCTCCGACTGTCACCCTGTGTTGAGCCTTAGAAAACATACCAGCACTTGGGGGGTGGGGACTCTTACAGTCTACTTTGTTTTTTTAAAGTTAAATATGACAACCAGCATTACAGGGAAGCAGGGCTTTTTTAGCATAATAGGCCACACCCAACAGCAGAAACTCATTAGCATATTAGGCCACCCCCATGCCTTCCCTTGGCTTGCCCGGGCAAGCCAGCTCTTGGACAGGCTGGGGAAGGCATGGGGAGGCATTTAAATGCCTCCCTGCTCCTTCCAGGGCCCCCCCCCGGCCCATCCGCCTGGAGTCACTGTGGGGGGGGGGGGGTGTCGCTCTCCAGGCCTTCCCTCTGTAGCCCCGCACTGTAGTGGGCGTGGCCAGCTCTGAAGCCAGCCGGAACTCTGTTCCTGTGCGCTCCTGCCCAAAAATAGCCCTGCAGGTAAGTATAACAAAGGAATAGTAGAAAAGTGAAAGAGTCTGGTAGCACCTTAAAGACTAACAAAATATGTGGCAGGGTATGAGTTTTCATGAGTCACTGCTCACTTCTTCAGGAACCATCACTGTCAGAACCCTGCCTAACCTAAAAAACAGCAAGTTGCTTAAATGTTATCACCCCCCAAACTACTTATTTATTCAAATATTTATTTCCCACTTTTCCCTGTGACTCAAGGCAGCTTATAAATCTTACTGAAAAGTGTAATATGGGTGTGCAACCCCCCCCCCCCGTTCCCCATCTCCCCTGTAGTCTATGGGGACCATTTTCGTAAATGGGCCCCATAGGCTGTAATAGAGAATCAATCTGGGGGTATCTGGGGCTCTTGGGGGGGAGCTGTTTTTTGAGGTAGAGGCACCAAATTTGCAGCATAGCTGCTGTTGCCACTCTTCAAGAATCTCCTCAAGTTTCAAAAAGGATTGGACCCTGGGTCCAATTCTATGGGCCCCAGAAGGCGGTGCCCCCATTCTTCATTGTTTCCCATGTTCTGAGGGTTTGGCCCCACCTACCTTTACCCTCTATCAAAATTCATAAAGTACTCAGAGAATGAACAAGGATGCTTTTAAAACATTAACTGAGACACATTTAGAAATGACTAAAATAAAAATAGCTCTTTGAAAGCAACCACCATTGTGCACAAACATTAAAGGCATAGTAAAATATCTTCAGTTACTGTTAACTTATTTTCATATACAGCACAACAGAATATTCCTACTACATGATAACCATCTTCAAGTATTTGAAGGGCTGTCATATAGAGGATTCTGTGAAGTTATTTTTCTCTTGCCCCAGAAGGTCGGACCAGAACCAACAGGTTCCTGACAGAGTGGTTCCTCAGGGGAACAGGCTTCTGCAGGAGGTGGTGGGCTCTCCTTCTTTGGAGGTTTTTAAACAGAGGCTAGATGGCCATCTGACAGCAATGCTGATTCTGTGAACTCCTGAATTTGGAGGATAAAATCCCCAATGCCTTGAATGGAGCAGAAAAAGAACAGAATGCTTTGGGTCATTTGCCACAAGCCAGTTCCCCCTGTCCCCTCCCATCAAGCACATCAGCCATTAACACACCCTCCCCTGTGATGCCTAACCCTGTGGTCATACAGGGTGCAAGCCCTCTCCCATTGCTTGGAAATGGAAACTAAGGAGGTCTCTCCTCCCAAAGAACTGATCCCAGCTTTCTCCTGCATCCTTGGCACAGGAGAGCCCAAGAAAGATCACCTTTGCATCTGCAGAACTGCCCATTCAGAAACAGCTTCCTCTGTCATAGGCTCGGAACCTTTCAACATTTTGTGACTGGCCCTGCTCCTCTGGCCAACACTTGGTAGCAGCACCCACCGCATCTCTTTCAAAATTGAACAAGGAACCACAAGTTCAAGCAAGGTTGAGGACCCCTGAGTGTAAAGCCAGCAAAAGTATGTATAAACCAACTGAAACATTAAAAGGATATGGAAACTATTTTCAATAACCCAAATTCATATAAAACAGGATTCACTGGTTAAGAGTTGTTTAACATTCCTTCAAGGATGGCAAGGAGGAAAACTGCTTGTGCATTGTGCTTTGCCCTTCTTCTGAGTCTTGTGATACAAAGAGGCATCTTCTCTCAATCTAGGGACAGTATGCATATTTTCCCTCTTTCCACAGGCACTGAACAGAGAAATTGCAACTCACTAATGGATTCTCCTACCATTAGTGTGACACATGGAAAACTGCCTTCAGGAAAAACAAAAACAAAAATGCTACAAAGCAAGTTAAAGCCCTTACTTCAAACTGGGGCCAGTTCATCGACATGCCTGGACCATGATTGGCCCTGAACCACCTCAGATCTTCAACAGCATCAGCTCCTTTGATGTTCTGCTCCAGTTCAGCATAAATATTTTGGTAGCTGTAAATTATGCATATTGATTTAGAATTTGTCACAGATACAGTAGCTAGAGCACTGAGAGTATTAATTTTCCAAAGCTTGCATAAGACAATAATTTAATTAAAACAAGAGGATTAGCTTACAGTGATTTCTCTTAGCCAATAATTTAAGTCCCTGATGAGCCTAGGTGCTTTCTACATTCAAAGGCTTTTGCAGTGGTATTAGCATACCCTTGCTGAACAGTACAACCACAGTCTTCCGGATGATGGCCCTACCAAGGGAGAAGTTGTGCCGTTTGACAGACTCTTAATGCACAAAGGATAAATTATCTATATATCTAATAGCGAACTTGCCCCCGGAGTGCGGATCGCTAAATCAGCGCTCCGGGGGCAGCTGGGGGGCCGGGGAGGTTTGTGCACACGTGGGCCAGTCCCCACGTGTGCACAAAAATAAAAAAAGTTGAAAAAAATTTCGGGGGGATGTTTAAATCCCCCCGAAAGTGCAAGAGTGTCTCCTGCGCGTGCGCAGGAGACGCTCTGTAACTGCCGCCGCTGCTTGGGAGGGAAGCGGCGAGCAGGGAGGGGGGGGCCAGAGCGGCGACGGCCGATCGGCTTGCCGATCGGCCCTTGGTTTGGAGCCGGAGGGGGGATGGGGGTGGGGAGAGAGAGAGAGAGAGAGTTTTGTGAGGCCCGGCGGTTCCACGCCGCGCGGGCCTCGGCTCGGAGCCGGTGAGGGTGTGGGAAGAGAGAGAGAGAAAGAGAGACGCTTCTGTGCCGGGTTGGGAGGGGGGAGGGAAACAGCGAGGGGCGAGCAGGGAGCCACTCG